AGCGTCTGCTCTTACATACGCCTAGCCACACACAGATACATACATGGAAGTAAAAATGAAATAAATATTTAAAAAAAAAAAAAACAACAACCAGGCTTAGTAGAATGGGACTGTTGGAGATGGTAGATAGGAACCCAGTTCTCTTCAGACCCATTGGTGAGTATTTATGCATATGAAAGTTGGAATTTTTAAAACCCAGAGCAATAGGTTAAGCCAACAACCATTGCCTCAGATTAAGAAACGTTAAACCACTATCAGGGTGTGAAATGTTAATTGGTAGCCCTTTTTATCTCATTCTTGTCTGAAGGACTGAATCGCACAGTGTGGAAACTGCTCTCTCCCCCTCCTTAGTCTGGTCCAAGGCATTTGAATAGTTAGAGAATCCCGCCTGCTGGTCTTTTGCCCCGGAGGCGAGCTTTCAGAAGGTAGTTTGAGTGACAAACACCTCAGAGTCTGCTCACATTCCTCTGTGGAACAGTCACTTCTACGAGAAAGGGGCGTGGCTTTGTGGTTGGGAATGCTTGGCCAGGGACTTGGAGTTCTTGTATTGGAGTTAGTTTTGTTTGTTTAGCATCTTGGACTGTGCTAACACATCTTTGTCAGGACTCAGCTTACTCAGGTTAGAAAGCAGCTTATGAAACGCTGATTTACCGGGATATATTGAGTACTAATGAACAAATTAAACGTTTTGAGATGGAAAATAATATGAGCACAATTGAATTATTTTTAGAAACTAGCTTTATGAAAAACAAATAGAACAGCTTTGTCTTTTGGAAAAATTACCCCCACCCCCCATTTCAACTGCATTGTTTAAATAGTTTCATTTTCCTAAATAAATATTTTCAATGTTAAATGTTTTTTTAAGTCAACATGCTTAGTTTTTTTTACATGATGCAAATAATTAAATTCATCATCAGTTGCATTTAAGCATAAAGAAGTCGTCTCTTTGTTCTATATGACACAAGAAAATCCTTTCTAGGATCCTATGCATTGTGAAAATGGAGGCATTATTAACCTTAATGTTTTAGAGAAAATATTAGTATAAGAGAAATATAATGTAGTCAGCGTAAAGTAGAAACAGTGTTTCCTGTTTTAAAATGACGAAGGCTTCCTCCCTAGAATAAGATTCAGTCTCAGAAAGAGAAAATTGTGCAAATGTGCCCAAACAAAATAGGATATATGCGTAGAGACCTAATGATCATCACTGACGGTCTATGTCATAAAGGATATGGCTTAAACAATTATCCTCAAATGTAAAGGCTCCATTGTGGGTAGCTAAGTGGTCAGCATTCAAATTCAGGTTTCCTAAAAATTAACCAAACAAATATGGGTTTAAAAAAAAATCTTTCAAATTGCAGCATGATACTCCGTGCATTATGAAGCTTTTAATTTCCAATCTCTTCCTTCTCTTCTAAAAAATGAGAACAAGACACTGGATCTTCAACCCTGTGTCTGGGATTTCAAATTTGGCTCTGAATATGTGTTTCAAATCTCATTAATTACAATATTGGTCCCAGGAGGTACAGCTGCAAAGAACACTCTCTGTACTCAAAATAATTTGAACAAGGGCAAAGAAGCATTTTATTTACATGTGTAAACATTAAGAGAGGAGTGGCACAGTGGCTCAGGTAGCTGCTGGGAGGCTTTAATGATAATTGATTTGATTACTTAAGCTCCAAGGTCACCATTTATAGGCACGTACACATATAAAAGTCTCTTACATTTCTTGGATGCTAACACTCTTGTCACTCTTGTCATGGTAACTGGTATTAATTTGGCGAGTTCTGAACTAAGACCTTTTAACATTTTATTCTTCCAAGATACTAAGACCAAATTGTTCTGAATCCTGTATCTTACCGTGCACATCTGCAATTTCGTTTTTAAATATCAGAAAACATGTCATTATCCTCAGGACTTTCCAATGTAACCAATTTGGGTAAAAACCAATCAGATGAACTCCAATTTTCCTTCTTCATTTTTTTTTTTTTTTCTCTTTAGGACACATCAAGGCGAGCTGCAACTCTTTGTGGTCCTGTGTTATCAGGTCCATACATTGTTATCCTACTAACGACTCTTGGCTCGGAGGCAGAGTCAAGTGCACTGTAAGGAGAACTGAGTGCCTCACAGGAGAAGGGTAATATGCAATATTCTACCTCGACCTAAAACTCTTGCTTTAGGCTTGGATTGGGCGTCTAAAGAAAGCAGTCTGGTTCTATGTAGGAATCACGAATTTTAGTTAAAATACATGAGTGCTTGGCTCCCACTCAAGGTTGATCTGATCATTCTGCAAGCAAACAAACACAGATGAGAGGATCTTAACACCAGCTTAAGAATAATAGCTCATTGTTTTGTTTTTGTTTTCCCAGTACATCCATTTTTGGTTTTCACAGGAATCTCTCCCTTGGTTTAATATCCGAGTTGTTCAAAGAAACCCTTCGGCAAAGGGAAAATTACGGGGCAAGGCAGTNTTTTTTTTTTTTTTTTTTTTTTTGCAAAAAGGGTGTGCCATGTATCCCAGCCGAGTTACCAAGTAGCAGTGCACTTGGCCAAGATGGTCTCCCTCTTTTATCCTTGACGTGGGTGGTGGCTGCCTCTCATCCTATGGTGGGCTCTTGGTTTACAGTCTGACACAATAATCTAACTGATACTCAGTAGAAAAGGGAAGGTCGAGGGAATATAGGTACTTGTGAGGCTAACCACCTCTGAGAGTAAACATTTGACACATGTGGACTTGAAACTAGTTCAGCAGTTGCCAGAGGTCTCTTTTTGGTAGTACCTGAGCAGTATCAGATATGGGGCGTTACATGGGTGATGGAGCCTTGAGACAGTAAACATTTTCTGGGCTAAAGCTAATGGACGATAATTGGATAACGATTCTACATGGCTAGCCTTGGAGGGAGTGTTTGTAAATGGCAGCAACTTTATACACATTTGAGCGCTTTGATCAAGTTTTTTGGAAGAGAGGAGGGTTGCTAGCTGGCCCTGTCTCACTTCCAGTTCTTTGCAGTCCATGAGTGTCATGTTCCAAGCACCAAATCGCTGTAGGTTATTAGAACCAGAAGGGAGAACATGCGAGCCGGATCTAAGTCACCACTGTGGGTCATTTGAAACAGAAAGGGAAATTTTAAAAGTTTGAAATGGCAAATTATTTCTCTTTGGAATTAATCTAGTTAAGTCAATATCACCTTTTATATTTTCGTTATATTCCTTCTTTTCTTGGCTTAATTATTGTCCGTTCTATAGAAATGCATATTTTTTAAAAAAATAATGTCTGCCCTCTGTTATTTTTTTTTATCACGGTCATGTCTTCTCCATTAAACTTTTTTTTTTTTAATAATCTTTCTCCTTTTATAGTTTATTTCCCCATTTCTTTTCCTTACAGCGGTGGAAGTCTGTCGTCTTCATCCCCCCCCCCCAGTCTTTGATTGATGTCTGGTTGCCAACCCATTTTGATTCTCTCCTTTCCCACCAACTGCCCTTCCTTAACCTTCTCTGTTTTATTCGTCACCTGCTATCAGAACTCACAAACTCCATTTCTTTCCTTTCCATCCATCTCCGCATCTCCATATGCATTTTATGATCCTACTGCTAAATGCTTAAAGCTGCGAGCAATAAAGGTATGCCTCCTCATTTGAATGTTATTTCCTTTCCCTTAGCACAACCGTCCCTCCTCCTCTATTCATTCTTTTCCGAGGTTTCCCTGTCTTACCCCAATGGCACCGCTCTTGCCCTGTCACCTCCCATTTGAAGCTCATCTCTTCTCCCAACCCGATTTCCACCCTGTCTGATTTTTACAGCCAAGGATCTCCGACAAAATAAAGGATGGAGTCTACCAGAAACCAGGTTGCGTGTGTCTTGAGAAACTTTTGCGCATTCACTGACATGAGATTAGGGACTTGGATCCAAAAATATTCTCGGGGAGTTTTCAGCTCGGGCACCGCTTTGCACACCTCGAGCTCTACGGCCTATTCTGCCCGGCTAGTACAGGGATGTTTTCTAGGGCCTTCTCTGGTTCTTTCTAGTCCAGGGGTCAAACTGAAATGACATTGCCCACCCAAACTAGTAAGACAGGCCGAGTGGAGACTGCCTGGACCCCGGCTCTGCCGCAGACCTGTACGCAGTACTGACGAGGAAGGGGCTAAGGCCACGCGTGGGCCACTGTGGTCCCAGGAGTCTGTCACTTGGCCTCTTTGGGAGTGTGCTCCCCTCTTAGGAAGGAGGCTGACACCAGGCAGGGCTCCCTGGGGACGCAGGGCTCGTCCTCAGAGCCGGCGACACCGCCTGGGCGGGCACCCCGGGAGGGGGGTACAGTTCCTCCCCGGGAGAGGCGGAGAGTCGCCCAGTCCCTCAGCCACAAGGTCGAGGGTTCAGAGCGGGCGCCCCCGGCCTGCTGGCCCTCCGGGAGCGGGGCTGGGGTGACACCCCAGAGAGTAGCGCTGCGATCGATCGGGGGTACCGGCGCGGGGTGCCAGGCCGGAGAGGAGAGGGAGAGGAGCCTGGAGGGCTCCCCCCCCCGGTACTGGGGCCGTGGGTCGGGTCTGTCTCTGGACCCGCTGGGCGCCCCGAAGTCTGGGGCCGCGGCGACTCCCGTTCCGCAGTCGCTGCCAGGCACTCCAGGCCGCACTTTCCCCTCCTCCCCGCGCCTTCTCTCCAGTGAGGAGCCGGGCGCGGGCGGCGCGGGGGGCGGGGCGGCGGCGGAGGGAACAGCCAGTTGTTTAAAATCCTTCTAGAGCAGTTTCTAATTCCCCCCTAGCGCCCGAGTTCGGAGGGGGAGGGAGAAGGAGAGCGGGAGGGGGGGGGAGCGCGGCGGAGAGGGAAGGAGGGAGGGCGGGAGCCGGCGAGGGAGGGAAGGAGGGAGGAGACTGCCGCGAAGGCCCAGCCGCCGCCGCGCGCTCCGGCAGGCCGGAGGGAGGGGGAGGCCTGTCAGTCTCGCGCGTTGCCAGGGCGAGGAGGGCGGAGCTCCGGCGTGGGGTGGCCAATGGTGGGGGTGGCTGCGTGGGTCGCCATGGGGACGGGGCTGTTCCCGGGGAGGCTGTGATGGGTTGACAGGTGCGTGACAGTGGGAGCTGCTCTCGGCACAAGCATGTACGGCAAAGGCAAGAGTAACAGCAGCGCCGTCCCGTCCGACAGCCAGGCCCGGGAGAAGTGAGTGTCTCCGCGCCGCAGCCACCTCCGCCTTCGCACGCGCGCACACTCGCGCACGCACTCGCACTCTCCGGGAGCCGCAGCCACACGGCCGCCCCGCCGGGGAGAAGGGGGGAGCCCGGGGGGGTGGGTGGGTGGCAGGGGGAGGCGCGGGGCGGGGGCGCGAGGCTCGGGGGAGCGGCCGGCTCCACGGGGAGCCCCCGGCGGGTGGCCGCGGGCGGCGGGAGGGACGCGCGTGGCGGGGGGCGGCGGCGGGGATGGAAACTTGTTTTGGGTGGCTGAGGGGAACCACCCGCGGCTTCACCTCCTCGCAAAGTAACTTTGGAGCTGCGGTCCAGGACGGCCGGGCCGCTGCGCGCGGCGGGCTGGGGCGGGGGGCGCGGGCTGCGGGTGCCGGGGTCCGGCGGGGGGCCCCCCGAGCGTGGGGCGAGGAGAGGGCGGCGGGCCGGGCGCGCGGCGGGCGGAAGCGGGGCCCCGCGGGGCGCGGAGGGCAAGTGCGGGCGTGGGCCGGGCGGGCTGGGGGACGCGTGTCCGCGGGTTCTCCCGGCGCAGGCCGGCGGGGCGGGCGAGCGGGGCGGCGAGGGAAGTTTGCGAGTGGGGGCGCCGAGTTCCCGGAGGGAGAAAGGGGGGGGGGGGGGGGCGGGCGAGCGGGGCGGCGAGGGAAGTTTGCGAGTGGGGGCGCCGAGTTCCCGGAGGGAGAAAGTGTGCCGGCCCGCGCGGGGTCGGCCGCGGGAGCTTGGCGCTCCTGCCTCTCGCGGCACACCGGCTCGGCGGCGGCCCCAGAACTTTTTTGAGACTTGCTGTGTCCCTGGGGGCGGTGGCCGCGGGCGCGGAGGGCCGGTCCCGTGGGCCGTGGCGGCGCCGCGAGGAGGGCTGTCCGCGGCGTGGACGCGGCGCGGGGAGGAAAGGGGGCTGCGGCAGAGATGCTGGGCGCGAGCCGCTTGGCTGGGTCGTGGGAGATACAGGTGGGAACTTCGGTGGGAGCCGGGAGGACGCGGGAGAGCCGGGGTGCCACGGTCGCGGCACGCTGCGAAGCAGGCTTGTTGGCTGCTATTCTTGTGTACTTGTAACGGCGATTTGGTTGTTACTAAAATGAGAGCGAATAGTGACTGTGACACTGAGGAAGAGCCCTCCCCCCTTTTCCTATGTGCAGATGTTCAGACTGATTCCCTGTAAGTGGGTCTGCTCTCAGGGTCAGGCTTATCCTTGTCATTGAACACACCGTCTTATTGAGGGGCTTCAGGCTGGAGGAAACAAGAGTCCTTCTCGGAGGTACTTTGGGTCCCTGGCACACAAAAATAGCTTCACAAATAAAAATCTAATGTGTAGGCTACCGAGTTTCCCTCCTTGCTTTAGGCAGTTAGTCTTACCCTTGAAAGTTTGTTGTGCCCTAGGGATGGGAACATTTTCTAATCTTCGCGTTGGCAGCAACACACATAATTCCCACAGGATTTAGAGGTGGCAGGCCTTGATGTAGGAAAACAAAACACAACAAAAAAAATTAATGGAGAGATGCTATTGCTCCCTCCACCCCTGCTATTTTTAAGATCTTGCTGTGACAAGGAGTATATAAAATACGTAGAATTATTGCCAGTTTACTGGACTTGGAGTTCTAAAATACTAGTTTGTGCTTATTAATCATTTCTGTGGCTGTACTATATCTGATAAAAAACATCTGAAGGAGGATGCTTTGATTGTAAAGTACCTGGATTTCACATTATGGGGAGTGGAGGAATTGTGATGTATTGAAAACACAATCTTATTGGGAGTATGCTATTAAATTTGGTATTAAAATAATTTGGGTTTTAGCTGGACTCCCAGGAATGGCTGATAATCAGCTGAGTCGATTCTATAGTCTCATGAATTAAAAAAAAAATAAAATTGTTTAGTGCTGAGACAACGAGGAAGTTAGACTGGGTATGTTCGGTCTTTCCCGGTGTCAATTCTGTGATTCTGTCAGAAAAACAAGCTATTGCCACTCTTGCTCTCAGATCGTCAAACCGAACAAGTAACATCAACTCTTAGGAGCAAAGTAATGAGGGCTCTGCTAGATGGTGCTGTTTGATTTAAATATATTTCTTCCATTTATTACAATTGGCAATAGGAATTCTTAACTGTCTTTGCTTATGTATTAGTTAGCTGAAAAGGCCCCCTTTGGAGAACTGACAGTGGCTGTTCTGGGCTCATCTTTTTTCTGCGTCAAATTTTAGCAGATATAAGACAAACATTGAAGAATATCCCATTCTTACAGAATAAATATTTTAATGGGAGAGTTGATCTAATCACTATTGTCTCTGTGTTTACTGATTTCAGAAGATAGGAAACTTGAAGCTGTCGTTAAAGGAATGGCAGCAGACTTTTGTTTTTAATTTTTAAAAGTGGTAGATTTTAAGAGGTAATTGAGGGATAAAGAATTCTCTAGTAAGCAACTTAAGACCGTTCCAGTCTTAAAAATCACAAATAATTTGTATTTCATTTTTATAAAACTATCCTGAAAATGAGTTGTGAATAATGGCAAACATGAAGTAAACATACTAGCTTTATAATTAAGAGCTATGTTTTCTCACACAGCTTCATAGTGGAGAGCTGATAAGCACTTACCTGTATCAAGTCTTTGCTTTCTCTTGCAGTAACAAGCCACTATATGAAGTACTTGAAAATAATTTGTGGCTTGCACAGTTTCTAAAATTTTGTTTTTTAGTTTTGATCAGAAAATTGGCTACAGTCAGATTAATTGTGTATTTTGTTGTTTTACCAAACAAACGGGTCAAGCCTATTCAAAGGTTTGCAATAGATTTAATTGATTGAGCCGCCCCGGAGGAAAGTGGGATGTTTACATAGGAATTTTAATTCTGACCCTGTTAGATTATTATTGCCAGTGGCTTTAGTACTTTCCTTATAGCACTGACCAAAATGATAATTAAATAATTATGTAATTAGTTATTTATATTTAACTTTCCCTGTAATGTACGTTTCTTTTGAGTAAGGGACAGTAGTTTTTAATTTCTTCTCTAAGCTGTCTTTGACGTTAAGAACCCTGCCATCGAATACTGAAATACCAACTTCTTGTCAGACTCACAGGAATCCTTCCAGTGGGAAGAGTTTCACATAAGGACACACAAGGTTGACTTCCATATTCTATTAGCCTAGTTTTATTTCAAGAATATCCCCAAACAAGAATACAGTAGTAACTGTTGCTTTTTGCCATTGTGTGTGCCATCACTGTGTTAAGAGTTTCATGTTTATTTTCTCTTCGTTCTCATTTCTTCTCATTCTGCCATTAATTCTGATGTATAGGTTGTTTTTCCCTCCTCCGCTGACAAAACAAGACAGAATCCCTATCTGATTAAGTAACTACTCAGGGATAAGGTTATTAAAAAAATCGAAAAGCTGTGTTTGGAACAAAGATTCCTCCAACTTTGGCACTAGTTACTGAAACTGAAAGACACACATTCAGTGACCAGGTTCCCTTCACTGTCTGGGAGGCCGTCTCCGATTTAGGAAACAGAGTTACATAATCAGCTAGGACAGAATCGAGATTTGGTCAGCTATGCAGTCTTAACCATTGCTGCACCCTTGTTCCTACAGCTTCCACATTGTCAGGTTGCATATGTGCATGTGGTCTGGGAGAAGACACAGGAAATTTAGGGATGGAAGTTGGAGACCTAAGTAAAGAAGAATCCTTTTTCAGATTTTCTTTCTAGAAATTTTGTTTGATCATTATTTTAAATTAAATACAACAGTTGTAAGCAGTTTCTATATGAGATGTGTTGAACTTTAAACCACACTACCAAGGAACTAGTGATGAGCCTATGAATACTGATAGTTTTTTTTTTTGTTGTTGCTTTTTGAGGTAGGGGCTCATGTAGCCGAGTCTAGCCTCAAATTCCTTACTTCAAAATCCTTAGAAGTTCAGGTTGACCTTGAACTTCTCACCCTCCAGCCTCCACGAGTACTGGAATTATAGGTGTGTCCTACCACACCTATTTTTCTGTGGGATTGTACCAGGGCTAGGCAGGCAATCTGCCAATGGAGCTACATCCTCAGCTCCTACTTTGTTACCATCGTGTGAAGATACTGCAAGAAGAACTTGCAGGGAATTGAAGATGAGCATGGGAGGCCATAGTAAACAGTGCATTTGTAAAGTAGTCATTAGACTTAGAAATTAAATTATAACATGGGACACTTAAAATAACTTTGTTTAGAGACTCGCTTTTATAGTTGACAGTTCTGAACACCACTTCCTATGTGCCTCCTTTTAAGTGGCTACAACCTGAAAACGATTTGCGTGCTACTGAGCTTGAGTTTTCCTAGTACCTGCTGCCTGTCACCTTGTTCTCTCTTTCGTCATTAAAGCATTCCCACCAAACAAAAATTGCAAGTCGTCTCTTTTTTTTTTCCTGAAGAAAATTTGGTAGGCGAACTAATACAGATCTCTTTAGAAACTTGTTTGATGAGCAGTTGATACACAACTAAAGATTTTTAGTTTATGTGTTTTGGGGAGGGAGACTGGGAGTCGAATTTATGGCCTTGTATAGGCAAAGCACACACCCTCCACTGGTGACATCCTAGCCCACAGGGTTTCTAGGGCCAATGAGAGATCTTCATGGGAACAAGAGATACTGCTTCTCTTCTCAATTTCCAGCATGTTTTCTCTAAAATATTCACCAATTTGGATTTGAAATGTCATCTTAGCTTGGAGAAGTTTTTCTTTTGATTGATGGCTTTTATTTTAGGAAAAGAATAAAAATCCCCCTCCCCCTGCTACCCTGATTTTGAAAGGAATGACCCTTAAGAAAGAAGTTGAAAGTCAGTTACAAGATCTCGTATTAACTTTGGCTGGCCCACTTGCTGGGTAGATCAGGCTGACGTCAAACTTAGAAATTCCCTTGCCTCTGCATCCCAAGTGATGGGATTAAAGACGTGCTCCACCATGTCTGACAAATTTTAGTATTTTATGCAGAGATTTATTATTCTTAGGAATAGTATTATAAATACTG